GGCCTTCTAAAAAATACCCCCATGGGCCTCCTTTCTCTATTATTAATCGAATTTGAAACAATCATGAAATCAGAGTCTACGGCAACAACAATCGAATAGGCCGTTTTGGAAAGTTTTCCCTCGAACGTGACCTCCTGTTGACCGCGTAGTGACCGCGTAGTGACCGCGTAGTGACCGCGTAGTGACCGCGTGGTGACCGTAGTGACTTTGCAGTCCGTATGGAAGAGGTTACCATAAGTGCCCCCTCTATGTGTCTGTGTGTCTCTTTGTCTGTTTGTCTGTCTCTGTTTGTCTTTGTCTGTCTCTGTCTGTCTGTCTCTCTGTCTGTCTGTCTGTCTGTTTCTGCCTGTTTGCGTCTGTCCGTCTGTCCCTCTGTGTGTCTGTCTGTCTGCGATGTCTGTCTGTCTGTGTGTCTGTCTGTCTGGCGATACCGGCACAGCGGCCGCGAGCCATGCGGCTGCTCTGTCTTTCACAAAAAAGGAGAGTGCTTCGCACCCCTTCGGCCCGGCCAGGGCCGCCTTGTTGTTCTACGGATTCTACGGGTATGTGCATGCCTCAGTTCCAGTTGCTTGGATGGGGACAAACGAGACTCGGGGCCTACGGGCAAGCTGGCTCGTTTTTGGTGTCTCCCAAAGGAGTCGGTGTTTCGGGTGTTACCGAATCCTGTGCGGTTCGCAGTGCGGGGATACCCAGTTTCACGTCACCGCTCTCTCGGAAAGAGCTTGCCAGCTATTGTTAAAGCAAGCACCCATCATCTTTCAGGCCGTCGCGTTTCGCAGTTATCGACACTCTCCACTGAGGACTCCTGTATTTGGGCCTGAAATCGGGACCAGAAAATAAACCGCAACATCGCCAAACCTAGGACCTGGAACAAGCTGCAAGATTGTGTCGCACGGATGCTTACCCGGGTTCACCAACCCAACCCGACACGTACAGTATTACCCTGTTTCCAAGGGTATGTGTGTGCCAAGTTCCAGTTGCTTGGGTGGGGGCCCAGCAACCACAGTGACTTTGTCGTTGTTTCAACCATCGGCACTCTGCTTAGAGCCTACGGCTTCACCGCTAGCATGCGCAACTAGTTTGAACGTATGGTGTACTTGTTTCACGTATGTTCTTCTAAACTATGTTTCGCGCAACGTTTTGGCTCATAGTTGTGCATGCTAGCAAACTGTCACTTTGAATTCCTCACCCTCCTGCTCGTATGAGTGCTTTGTTAGAACTCTGCAGTCTTCTGTTGCTTCTGCTGTGCAGTATCTAACGTGATGTGGCGTTTCACGACCTGTTTCACTGGCACAGGCCGTAAAAACCCACAAACAAGACCTCAAAGCAAGAAAGCTCGGGCAAGCTGTAGGTCTCACTCAAGGCTCGTTTTTGGTATCCCCCAAAGGAGTCCGTTGTTCGTCTTGTTCTTATCCTATTCTTTTTCGGTTCGCAATAAGGGATACCTAATTTTATATCACCGCTTTCGGATGGGCTTGCCTGCTGTCGTTTTGTTTATACTGAAACGGTTTTGCACCTATCATCTTGCACAACTTGTCTTTGTCGACCGGCATGGGCCGTCGCGTTTCGCAGTTATGAATACTTTGTGCCGCGTTCACGGGCTTGGGAAGTCCAAGCTACAAAACTCGTCTCCTCTTGAGCCATGTTTCGGATGCCCCGTGCCACCTTCGAAGAGAACATGGCAAGTGTTGCCTTCCGCAGATTTCTTTCATATGTTATTACTTCACGAATATCAAGATCGAAGGAGTCTGGAATTTCTATAGTTTGTCATATTTCCCGTCGATATAGACATTGGGAATGGTTTAACATACATGTGAATCGAGCCACACTCTCTTAAACTCTCCAAGTGAAAATGTAGATGGACATGGCTTCAACTCCCTCGGCATGCAGCTTGTTGTGCATAGTTCCTTTGTCCAGTTGGACATCGTGAATTGAACTGATGGAGCCGGGCGTGTTCCAGTGTATCATGATCTGTTTTACACCTCGGCGCTGGTTGTCCCTCGCTTCTTGCATTATTTCTTTCTCTCGATTCTTGGCGTGTCTTGGCATGTTTGCCCTTCAAAAATAACTAAGAAGATTGCTGAGAACGATGGAGCTAGCTCCGCAGTTGCGTGGGGGCCCGTTCGTGCGTTCTCAAAGTTTATATGCTTTCCGACTTTCCAAGCGGGTTGGGAACTTCCAAGCTCGACCCTGGTTGCTGTGGCACCATCAAGACCGGTTCCCAATGTGTTGCAGAAAGCACATGTTGCGCTTTCAATCGTTTTTTTTGGCTTTCCACATTGCCAAAAGCAGAGCTGTTACTTTGTTGCGGGGCACTCGGGAAGCCACGCCGCTTTGGATTTTGGAGGTGCGAAGACGGTCGATGCCATGGAATGCTCTGCGCGGCGCAGATGGAGTATCGCGGTCTTGGGTTGCTACACAGTTTTGGGCTTCGTGGGCTTTCTGGGCTCCTCGGACTCCTCGCTCCCTTCGCTTTCTGTCTGGCTTTGGTGGGTCGGAGCCTGCTTCTCGGAGTCCCAGCGGCGCTGCGCCTTGATGTCTTTGTGGCTGCCCACGGAGATCGAGATGCATCACTTCGCGCTGAGGAGCCGCGAGGAGTTCGCGGAGAGGAGGGGCTGGGCCATCCAGGCGGACGGCCAGGACGTGGAGGTGGAGTTCCGCCTCAGAGAGGACATCAGCTCCGTCTGCGCGGCACCGCAGCGCATCCGGCGTTTCGTGCCGAGCTTGAAGGCCCAGAGGTGCGGGGAGAGAGGTCAAAGAGGGTGTGAATGATGAGGGGGTGACGGAAAAGGAATGCATAGATGTTGCGAGAGGGTGGGAGACGTAGAGGGCTTCGCAAAAGTGCTACGGCTAGCTACGCGGTGAGATTTGAGTCGTGAAGAAAAGCGAAACGGTGGCTTCCCTACAAGGGCACTGCCTTGGTCGGAGCGGAAGGTTTTGTACGAGAAGCCTCCAGGCTTCTGGCGCAAGCACTTTCTCACGGCGCTGGCAGAGGTCAACTTGGTCACGCCGGAAGATGATTATTTGCTTGACACTTGGGCATGAGTCAGCAAAGGCAAAGGTGTAAAGAAGTGCCTGTGCAAGGCAAGAATCGTTGTGTGCCACTGACCAGAAAGTCTACAGAGTGATGGCCTTGTAATCGTTATGTTTTGCGCGCGCCCTGCACTGAGGAATGGATCGACTTCCATTTGCTTGTCGGGTTTGACCACTTTGTGATTTATGATGCCAAGAACCTCACGAGCACAAGACATGCACTGGAGACGTACATCTCCGAGGGGTACGTGGAGTTAGTACCATGTCGAGTGGATCTTACAGGCAATTGTCTGCTGGTGGAGCAGCTATCGAGATCCGGAAATCAGGAGTTTGACTGGAGGAGATACGCCGTTCTGAAAATCGCCAAGGAGAGGTCGACACATTGGATCGCCTTGATGGACATCGACGAGTTCTTCTTCCCACGGCGACTTGCATCCTTGAGAGACATTCTTGTGCCGGAATCACATCCAGCCGGTATCAGTGGCTTCTTCATTTGGCAGCTTAACTTTGGATCATCGGGTTGGCAAACAAGACCTGCTCAACTTCAGATAGAAGCTTACAGCCGCAGTGCTTCCCAAAGAGACTGGAATGGAAAAAGCATCGCGCAAGCAGATGCTTTGGTTCTCAATGGAACTTTTGCCTACAAGGGTAATCCCCATCTCTTGTTGTCAGGGAGTGAGCCCGGAGTGAAACGCTGTGACGCTCACATGCAGGATTTTCAAGGCAACGTTCATTGCATTGAGAACCCCGTGCGGATGTTCGACGTGGTCGGCATTGCTTTATGCCTGGCCAACTTCCTTGTCTTTGCCGCGCTAGGGGCAGCTCCTTGCATGCTCCGATCTCTGGCAGACACTGGGAGGCTTTTGAAGACGAGCTAAAGAGCTTCTCGTGAGCACAGAGTTGGAGCTTTGGAGCATTACAGCTTTGGAGCAGTGCAGGCCGGCCGCGATGGAACACGACACGGCGGCGACTTCTGACCTCACGTCGGAAGCGGTGTGGTGACTCCGACAGCATGGTCCGGGGTTGAGAATGGGGGTTGGGGTCGACTAGACACACCAGCCGAGTTGTTTGTCGAAGGGGTTGTGTGCTCTGCTTAAGTAAAGCAAAGCCCCAAACAGCAAAAAAGTCCTCTGGGGAGATTTGAGACTCTGGAGCCGAGCGAAGGTCTGCCAGTCGCAGGGGTTGCAACCTCACTCTAGTGACTTTAGTGACATCCACCGTGGCTTTTTTTATTTGCTTGTCCTGGAGACGCGTCCATGGCATGGCCGGCTCAGCCGTCAGCTGTTGCTCGGGGCCTTGGAGGTCGGTGCGGCCCAGGGGTTGCTAGAGGACCCAGGCCCTAAAGCTCCGCGCTTTGTTGGTGGACGGCGGATTCTGATTATGGCAGGGGCCCGTCATGTGCATCTCCCCATTTCCATACTGCAGCAGTGCACCTGATTGATGTTTCACGGATTAAACGGCCCGACAACCAAGGCTGCGTATGGCGATGCACAAGAGCAAGCTCAAGAAGGACCCTTCATCAGGTGCCTACGAAGGAAACGCGATGTCCGTCACACTTCGCTGGCAGGCACGTAAGCTCGAATTCCAACTTCCATTTGCCAAATTGGAGCATACAGAGCTCGTGAAAATGTGCAATGACGACTGAAACATCAGGCTGGCTTTGCTGGCACGCGGGCGGGTCTCTCCATATCGTTTGACGCTTGAGTTGCTAATGAGGCTCAAGCTTCACAGGGACGTTGGGTCCTGTCTTCCCAGCCTGTACTCCTAGAACATGAAACCTGTTGCATTGGCTGGTTGTTGGGCTTGATCTTGTACCGGTTAGCTGGGTAGAGGGGTTTGACATGGAACGTCCGCGACGATGCCGGGGGCCCGAGTTGCATGGACGACAGAGCTGCGGGGGTCCATGCGCTGCGGAAGAAGGTCCAGGCACCGCGACCCGGTGCAAGCAATCCACGTGCTTCCGATGGCAGCGGGACGCGTCGCGGCTTTGTGTTTGATTTGACACTGGACCGTTTCTTTGCTGCGTGGCATGCTGTCGGCAGGGATGCCCGTCACTATGGGAGGAGTCGACGAGACGCGAACTCACGAAAATGGTTGCGCACACAATGCTCGACTCGGTTCTTGTGGAGCCTGGTCGCATCTTTGCAGTGCTTCGTTGATAAGCCTCTGCCAGCAAAATTGTTTCGTGGAATGCGCTGCCGGCACAGATCGACCCAGAATGCAGGAACTTTGTTGTCAAGCAGTGAAAGAGGCATCTGTAAGGTCGTGTTTGATATCGAGGCGGAGCCTGCATTAGTTCCGGCGATGCAGCTCGTCCGGGTTTGTGTGGTGCCGCATCCTTTCTTGGCTGGGTTGGCGTTTCTGGCTTGGGCACTGGCTCATGCGCAGCAGGAGGACTTGAAGATTGACAGCTTGCGTACGGCTTTGATGTTCAACCAAGTCATGGGGAAGTCTTCGGGCCAGCTGACCATGCTCGCAGTCATGCAAGAAGAGGCGGTGAAAGGCTTGAAGTTTTGCTTTGCCGCCTGGAAGAAGACCGTGAACCGTAAGGCCCAGGCTCTGCGGAAGTTCTGGCTGAAGGGTCTGAGGGAAGCCTTCAAAGCCTGGCTGGAGACCCTCTTGCTCGACCGACACGACCGGGCCTTGGACCTGCTGACCCGAACGCAGGCCGCGGGCCCAAGTCTGTTGAGGTCTACCGTATGCATGCCCGCGAAAATAACAAGCCCAATAAGGCATGGCACCGGACCAAAAACCCCCGAAGTTGCCTGAGCGGGGAGGCCGAGCTGAAGCAGCTGCAGATCACGGCCTTGGCGAGGCAGGCGCAGGCCGATCGACTCCGAGGATGCGTCCTCGAAGTCCGGCATGCGCTTCTCGGCCCTTTCATTTTGCTCCTGGCTCTTCCCAGTTCCCAATTAAGAGCCCCCGAATAAGGAAGTCTAAAAAGGTGTTTCGAGGGCTCCTTCGTCCGGCGGGTCCTGTTCTCCTGGAGACGTCTCTCACGGAGCCGGCTGATGGCAGAGAGCCGCGCGCGGGCGCGGCAAGCTCTGGCAGCCTCAGCGCTGCAGGTGGCCGAAGCCATGGGAAAGCTTACAATACCTTTCTTGCGACCCCACCTGCAGGCATGGGTCGCCAGGCCGCTCTGGCATCTGTTGATCTGTTGCAGTTGTCACACGCTTGTTGCAGAACTGCTCATCCCAGGCAAGTCACACAAGTCAAGCGAGGAAACTGAAGCACGCCGCAGAGAACACGATCAAAGCACTGGTGGGCAGCTCTTTGTCGACGGTGTTCCGCGCCTGGAAGCAAATGAAGCTGAGCAACTACCAGAGCCTGGTAGCCAAGCTCCATCAGCGCGAGCGCGAGTACTCCGAGCTCCATGAGCTCTCCGAGTCCTTCTTCCAGTGCTCCAGAGAAGGCTCCCAGCGCCTCAAGGCGATGGAGTCCGCTGCGCGGGCCGCGGATCGAGTTCTCCAGAAGCCCCGCTTTGTCAAGCCTCAAGCACTCTATCTATCTATCTATCTGTCTGTCTGTCTATCTATCTATCTATCTCTATATATATATATATATCTCTCTCTCTCTCTATATCTATATATATATATATATATATCTATATATCTATGTATATATATATGTATATATATATATATATATAGATAGATAGATAGATAGATAGATAGATAGATAGATTTCTAGATAGAAGAGTCCGTGCGCTTCTCTTTGTGCCCCTTCGTCGCTGCCTCTCAGGATCGGCGCGGCGAGGGCGGACTCCTTGGAGGCCGAGGCCCGGGCCCTGCGCCGCTCCCTGCCCCTCGGATCGTCGGTCCTTAAACCATATAGGGTTTAGGGTTTTGCAGATCCGGTGACAGTCGACAGAA